GGCTGTGGGAATGGTTCTAAACAGGCAAGAGGAAACTTTCTGGGGTGGTAGACATGTTCCAAAACTATATTGTAGTGATGATTCCACAACTCTATGAATTTAAAAATCACTTAGAAAGAGTGAATGTTATGGTATGTAAGTTATACTTGAAAAAAGCAGACAAAGAAAGATAAAAAAAAAAAAAAATCTGGACCAAAAATTTTTGGTGGTACACTGCCAGGATGGGGGTACCTTTTAGTGTCAAGCAGCCTTAGATCACAGAGGAAATTTCCTCTAGCTTGAAAACTTGTCAAGCTGTCCTTAGCCTGGTTTAAATGAACATGTGTTTATGAGGCACAAAATATTCAGCATCACAAAAAGGACCAAAAAAGGACCAACCTTCTTTGGGAACCACTTCAGGTCAGACTTAAGTAGTCAAGGTGAGGAGGGGGCCTTCGGGGGGTACCATTCCCCCTCCTCTATCCCCCACTGAGCTCAGTGCCTACTCTCCACACAGGCACTAGATTAGCCTATACTCCATCTACCTCTAAAAATTAAAAGAAAAAAGGTAAAGTTTGTAAAAAGAAATACATATAAATACTGAAAAGGTAATGTGATATGGTTTGGCTCTGTGTCCCCACTCAAATCGCATCTCCAGTTGTAGTTCCCAATGTTGGAGACGGACCTGGTAGGAAGTGATTAGATCATGGAGGGAGACGTCCCACTTGCTGTTCTGGTGATGGTGAGTGAGTTCTCAGATCTGATGGGTAAAAGTGTGTCTGTGGCTACTGTGGACACCCTGCCTATGGGTTAGCCCTGCTCTGTGCAATAATAGCTCACTACAGCTTTGAACTCCTGGGCTCAAGTAATTCTCCCGCCTTGGCCTCCCAAAGCACTGGGATTACAGACATGAGCCACCTGGCCTAGCCCTTTTTGTAAAAGGAGGTCCGAGAGCTGCTTCATGAGCCCCTTTCCAATCACAAAATTTCACCAGCCAAAATGGGAAAAATCTGTGAGATACAAGGTGAGGCCCCACACCCTGTATTTCTGCATTGGATCCTAGGAGCTAGTCAAGGTGTGTGATACCGCAGAGGACTCTGCGGAGCTCACCTGCAAATCAATCATCTCCATCAACCAATCACTATACAAACAACTTTCTTCAAAGACAGTTTGCTCATTTGGGCATATGGCCTTGAAAACACACTGTACATCCTCCACTTGTCTACGATTTGTACTACAATGATCCGAGATTTGACTGCTACAGAATTAGCAGTAAAAATAAGATAAAGCTGGTCAGGCACAGTGGCTCACACTTGTAATCCCAGCACTCTGGGAGGCCGAGGCGGGTGGATCACAAGGTCAGGAGATCAAGGCCATTCTGGCTAACACGGTGAAATCCCGTTTCTACTAAAAATAGAAAAATTAGCCAGGCGTGATGGCAGGCACCTGTAGTCCCAGCTACTTGGGAGGCTGAGGCAGGAGAATGGCGTGAACCCAGGAGGCAGAGCTTGCAGTGAGCCGAGATCGCGCCACTGCACTCCAGCCAGGGTGACAGAGCCAGACTCCATCTCAAAAAATAAATAAATAAATAAATAAATAAATAAATAAAGATAAACCTTAAAATTATCTCTCTTTTTGGTTCTAGAGCCTTACACTTCCCTACACAAAAGAAAACAGGACTCAACATGTTATAGCTGAAGTGATTTATATGACCATTAAGAATAAAAATAAAAAGGAGCAGCCCCTGCCACCTGGAAGCTGGCCTGGCAATCACAGCAAGGCCATGCTGCTCTCCTGATGGACATAAACCACCTTGGAGAACAGCAGCCTCAGGCAAGGGCCCTCTGAGACCATGATCAAGTGAGACAGAGCAAGCACAGAAACAACAAGGTTACTGCGCAACTCACAAAATACCAACACCCCTCTCTTTCAGCTAAAATAAGTGACTGCTATTTCTTTACCCATTAGAGCGTTCTCACTCTAGTCTTCCCTCCCTAATAGATAAGATTTATTGAGATACACAATCATAAAAATTACCCCCACTTGCTGCCAGCATCCAATCCACAGCAAACCCCTGCTTCCTTAGATTACCCCCTACATCATCCAACCAAAGCCCAAATCCTATAAAAGGCTCTACCACCTTCTTACCGAGACACCTCCCAGGTCCCCATGGCGTGTGTTCTCTCCCACTGCAACAATAAACCCATCTTGTTCAACTGCAAGTGTGTTCCTGGTGGTCTTTGGCCGGAAGGGACTGACAATATCTAACCACTGCGTTCTCTCTACTCCCCAACTCCACACCAGAACACACACACACACCCCCTAAGAGCTCCACACTGCACATTGTTAGAAAGAACTGTACCAGAAAACCAGGAAGACTAAAATGCAGATCATTTTTAAGACCTACTGAGAACACTAAACAGCAAACAACATGCTAAATAAGGTCTCGCAAAAGTACAACAACAAGGCTGGGTACAGTGGCTCATTCCTATAATCCAAGCACTCTGAGAGGCCCTTGAGGCCAGGAGCTCAAGACCAGCCTGAACAACACGGTGAGACCCCCTTCTCTACAAATTTTTTTTTAAGTACTACAACAACATAAAATGCAGAAAAGGGCAACGCTACAAGGCAAATATTCCATCAAAAACAGCCAAGGGATAAGTGACAAAGTAAGATAAGATAAAAGAAACATTAATATTCCAGAATAGCAATAATTTCTAACTAAAATAGTTTATACTGCTTATACTATATGTTCAAAAATAATTACTTTGACAAGATTACAAGGGAAAAGGTAGGGTTGGTAATAGACCAAAGATCCTTTCAAATAAAAGAATTTCAGTTATTTCTTTTTAAATAGAAAGGTCTTAACTTCCAGATGTCCTTCTATCTACTGAAATGACCAAGTAGACACTACTTCTGTAACAAAATAGAAGCCTAGGTAAAGCTAATATTTGGCATTCACAAATTTTAGGTCCAGAAACAGTTTTTGCTTATCATTTTTTTTTTTTTTTAAATTGAGTTTGGCTCTTGTTGCCCAGGCTGGAGTGCAATGGCACGATCTCGGCTCACTGCAACCTCCACCTCCCGGGTTCAAGCTATTCTCCTGCCTCAGCCTTCCTGAGTAGCTGGGATTACAGGCATGCACCACCACACCCGGCTAATTTTTTGTATTTTTAGTAGAGATGGGGTTTCTCCATGTTGGTCAGGTTAGTCTTTGAACTCCCGACCTCAGGTGATCCACCCGCCTCGGCCTCCCCAAGTGCGGCGATTATAGGCGTGAGCCACCGCGGCTGGCCCAGTTTTTGCTTTTCAAAGTAAGTGATAATGCATTTCACATAAAACATTAAGTCTACTGCATACATAATCCTTTTATTTCCCAAATGAAGGCAATATAAGAAGATTCTGTATTTTTCGAGATAACTAGAAGGCTTTAAGCACCCAAGATGCCCTGATTTCAAGGTAGTGAAATTTTATTAATTATCAGCTCCTCTACCATTGATGTGTTTCACAGGAGGAAAACCCCCAAGCCTGTATCGTCGGATAACTGGAAGCACCACTGCAGCAGGCCCTCGGGCAAGGGGGCCACACAGCCTTCCTGGGAAACATGCACAGTGCTGTTGTGCGTTCCTAGTCGCATGAAGACAAAGGCTTGGGCATTTTCTTCCTCCTGGTGTGTCTGGCACTGTGGGTGATGTTACCGAGAAGCTCTGGTGCTCAGGGGCCTCTTAGTAGAGCACACTAAATATAACTTTTGCTAAAACTTTTGGAATTAAGTTGAATACTATTGATGACACTTTGCCATGAGCTTAGTGACACTTGTTCAATATTTAAGGTAACACAGCAGTTAAAGTGAGATAAGATTCCTTTCTAACAATCCCATCAGGTTTACCTTTCAGAGCTATCACCTTAGAGGCCGGATTCATGATGGCACTCTCTGCAGAGATAGGCCGTCGGATCGGAGCCATTGGGTCACTCATGTCAATGATCGTGACCTGTGCCTGCTCACCAGCTTTCTCTCGGATACATATGAACTTGTCAGATTCCATGGTCAGTGTGCTGAACCCAATGTTGGCTGGATTAATTCCAAGGTTTTGGAGCTAAACAGAAAAAAAGCATTTGATTAATTTTTTTTTTCCTCTGAAATGGATTGACCCTAGCCAACAGCAAAGGAGGAGAAGTTAAATAAAATTTAGAAAAAAGTTAACATTAGGTAAACACTTGAAGCAAACATTAGCTTGCTTTTCTACACCTGTAATAGATCCACCCAAGTCTGTGAATCAATTCTCAAGGGGATGACCAACCCACAGTGGAGATAAGACATGTGCAGGATGACACTAGGCAGTGTCAAGGATGCCACAAGTGATACAGACAGGAAGAGATGAGTTGGGGGTGAACTCCCAAAGAACACCATCAGATAAGGTGTCACAGATAAGCCCACCACTGATGAGAGCTTTGGAAGGAAGGAGATCTTGGAGAGGTGAAGGCGAGGGAAGCAGAAGGGAAAAGGGGAGGAAACACAAAACCTGGTTTCTCCATAAGGCAAGAAAAAAGAATTGGCCAAAGGTTTTTGCTTAAATATTTCCCTAGATATCATCAAATCTGTCCAAATCTGATTTGAAGGAATTTCTAAGTCAGTGTGAATACTTCCTGGAGAGTCTGAGGTTAATAAGAAAGTCAGCAGGTTGGCACATCTTCCACGGCTGATGGATTCCTTCTACTGTGTAAACTGAAACCAGGTGCCTTTCTCCAAAGGCCATCTTATACCAGTGACTGGGCTAAATCAAGACCTGTTAATGGGATAAGCTTCAGTGAAAAACTCTGGGAAAACACACACTCAAGAAATGTTTATCATTCCCATAAAGCACCAAGCTTATTTCTACAAATTTCCCTGCTCTGACCTACCTATAAGACACCTTTATTTATTTATTTATTTTTTTGAGATGGAGTCTCGCTCTGTCACCCAGGCTGGAGTGCAGTGGCCGGATCTCAGCTCACTGCAAGCTCCGCCTCCCGGGTTTACGCCATTCTCCTGCCTCAGCCTCCCAAGTAGCTGGGACTACAGGCGCCCGCCACCACGCCTGGCTAGTTTTTTGTATTTTTTAGTAGAGACGGGGTTTCACCGTGTCAGCCAGGATGGTCTCGATCTCCTGACCTTGTGATCCGCCCGTCTCGGCCTCCCAAAGTGCTGGGATTACAGGCTTGAGCCACCGCGCCCGGCCGACGATACCTTTATTTTTAAACACTGTTCTGTTCAGCTCCAATTCTACTGCTACTGATTTGACCATTTAACATCTGTTACCTTGTGTAACCTTGAAGAGGCTCACACTAGCAACAAAGATCATGGAGCACTGTGTTAAAATCACCACCACCCTTTGGAAGGAACACAAGTGAGACTGTTCATACTGCGAGTATAACTCAGGACGGTGCCTTGTTTGTCTTTTGTAGCAGAGTCTAGCACATACTGGATGTTCCAGCTGCTGAGTGGAGCAGGCTACACGACAACAGGTCACCTCATCTCATCCTCCTGTTAACCCACTGAGACAAGCATCTCACATACACTTTACACTTGGGCAAAACAAAGTGTTGGGGTTCAGAAATCTTTCAGAAGTTACAAAGCTGATTAATGATGGAGCCAGGTATAATAAAGCCTGTGTTCAGACCACAATACTGAGTTCTTTGAAATTCATATTCCATTTTAACACAGAAAAGATAAACTAAGTGGTGATTATGTTCCCAAATGAGTCCACCAAAACAAACAAAAAACAGATATAACAGCAAAAAACAAAACATTACTTCATAGCTGCAGTGAAATAATTTTTTTAAAAATAGAACTTGCCAGTTGATATTGCCATTATTACAAGAAAGTCCCTTCATATTCCAAACTTGGGTTATAGCAAAGAAAATAATGCTAGCAGTGGTTTATGAAGGATAGGAAAAACCAAAGTATTTATCCTGTTCTCACACATCCCTCAACACAAGATTTCTAACACCAGATGTGTGGGGGTTTCTCCAGCAGACACCACCTGGATATCCTACAATTTAATTCAATTCTAACAATATATACCTAGAGATAGTATCAGATCCCATAGGCTGAGGGCTCAGTCCCATAAGACTGACTCCACTTCAGACACTAATCGCAAGCCCCAGGCTGCAGCCTGTACTTCTGACCATCCAGCTATAAACCAGGGTTCCCATGACCTTCTTCCTGGGTTTGACTAATTTGTTGGAGTGGCTAACACAACTCAAGAGACACGTTTCTCATTTATTACAAAGGATATTACAAAGGACACTGACGAACTGCCAGATGAAAGAGGCGCTTAGAGAAAGGCGCAAGGGGTGTCCTTGCCTTTTCCAGCACACGGCTCTCCAGGAACCTCCATGTGTTCAGCTATCATGGAGCTCCCGAAATCTATCTACACATCAGCACCACACTATTTTATTTATGGAGGTTTTGTAACATCTGGTAGGGCCTGCTGTCCTTTGCACTTGTTACTTTTGAAATTTTCTTAGGTATTATATTGCTTAACTTTTTTGTAAGTCTAAAAAAAAATTTCAAGCCCCCAAATAAGAATATGGGGGTCATCTGTGGCAGGCGAAGTCATGAGACTGGATGGTAGCACCGAGAGAGACCGTGAAGAGTGAGAGAATGGCTTGGGAGCCCAGGGCACAGAGCCCCAGGACACACCAAGGCTTAGAAGGGAAGCAGAGGAGCAGCCCATGAAGATGGACATAATTTACTCACGTAAAGTTAACATACTTAAGTAAACCAAGAATAAAAGATAACAGAAGTCCCACAAGTGCAACCACTGATACTTAGTAAACCAGGAAACCACATTAGCACAACCAAAGAAAACCTCCCAGTCTCACCAACTCTCTTACAAATCAGCCATGTTCAAATTCCATCATCCTCTCCTAGTTTAGTTCCCTGCTGGATTATACAACAACATCCAAGGTCATAAATTCCTGGAGGACACAGATCAGATTAGTGGGGTTTTTGTTTTGTTTTGTTTTGTTTTGTTTTTGAGACGGAGTCTAGCTCTGTCCCCCAGACTGGAGTGCAGTGGCGTGATCTC